GGAATTCTGCTGAATATTGCTATGTGTAATCTGAGGAACTGACCCTCACCCACCTTTGAAAATCTGGAGACATTTTTTTTCTATCTTTAACCTTCATGCATATGACAACATTAATTTATTCACAAATACCTACTGAACTGTAGGTACATTTAAGACCCAGGATCTGGTCCTGTTGGGGCCACCAAAATGAATCATTAACGCCTACTCTATACATACAAAGAATTACTCTACAGAACAAAGCTGTAAGTGCCATGGCTGAGTTGAAGCTGGATTTCCTATGGGAGAGCTGAGAGGAGAGGGAACTGGAACAGCACTTCCCCCCCCATAGTTCTTTTCCTACAATTCATCCATCTGACCTTGGAGAGTTGATCTGTTCTTTCTTTCCTCCTTTCCTTCCTTCCTTCCTTCCTTGCTTCCTTCCTTCCTTCCTTCCTTCCTAACAACCTCTTTACGATTACTTGTCAGGATTTGTTATATCCTTTCCAACTTAAATATCTTTCTCTTTATCCATAGATTGAGGCAATTAGGAGCCCACTGACCTTTCTCTGCCATGAGTTTCTATATGCACCATACATCATCTGGAGACACTTAGGTCTGTACTTCTGAAAATTAAAATTGACCACTTTCCTTTGTTCTAAAATTTTCCTAGAGGCCTAAGAATAGCCATGTAGTTAATAAGTGGTTAGTCTTGCTGAAGCAGACCACAGCTTTGGGCCAGTGACTGTGAGGTACTCCCTACACCCTGACTGGCTCAACATCACACGAAGTATAGCAAGGCTTTCTTATCTCTGTTAAAGTTAACTCAGATATTCTTCTCTGCTGACTCTGAGTCTTTTGAGAAAAAGACTTAAGCTTTAAACCAATTACTAACCTAAGAATTTCCAAACTCACCTGTAAGTCCCCTTCCAGATGTTTTGCCACTCAGGGCTAGGCTAGTATGAAAACTCCATGTGTGGGTTTACATTATTGTCTCTTCTGATGTTGTATCTAAACCACCCAGAACACTTTCTCAGGACTTCCGGAGTGTGTGCTCACAGGCCATGGTTACTCACAAACTTGGCTATGAATAAACCTTTTAAAACATTTTTATGGAGTTTGGTTATGTCCATAGAAACTTTCTTGTTCTGAATATTTTGTAAAGTACATCTGATTGTGTTTGGCATATTTGCACTATCTACGTGACTTTGGCTTTAAGAATACTTTTATGGAGGAATACCTAGGAAGATACACTGCTTATGGTTTGTGACGTACTGTCCTGCGTGTTAGTGTTAGTTTACCTAACCCTCAGAATGACCCTGAAAGACGGAACATCTTATCCTGTTTGAGAGTTATGGCCACTCATCCTCTGAAAGAATAATTTACCCAAGGTCTCAGCTCTCCTAAGTGGTAGACCTTGGATTTGAATATTGCTATTTCTGACCTCAAAGCCCACACTTTTTCCATAACAGCATATTAATCATGATAAAAGAATATTTTAAGTTCACTTTTCTGGTTGTTGTAAAAAACTTTTAGAAATCTTGGTTCATGGGACCAGCAGATGGTGGAATGGTTATGTCGCTGGATTGCCATGTTGCCAACCAGTTTGAGTCCTAGACCTGGCAGCTTAAATTTACATCGGGGCGTATTTGTGAATGCCCAAAATTCCAAGAGGAGAATGAAGGAGAAGGGATTGTGGTGTGGCCATCCCCCCTGGGGGGGAGTGTGATTTCTTGCTTTCTCTCTGGCGAGCATGTGTGCTCTATAGCAAAAATATCTCTTCAAAAAATAAGAAATTTCAGTTCAAAAAAGTTTCCTGTTAAATCTCATACATTTCCTGTGCTCACCCACCATGTATTTGCCAGTCAAGATTAGTTCTGAATGCTTCTGAATTAACACGAAAAATGCTCAGCCACAGCTGGCCTTGTGGCCTGGTGATAAAAAGAGATAGATCCCACATGGCTGAATGCATGGTTGGAATCTCAGACCAGTGACTTGAAAAGCATGCAGGGTGCGTGTGTGCAGGAAAATCTCAACAGGGTGGGGAAATGGATAAGTGATTGTGCATGACCATGCCCCACTGTGGAGTGCTTTTTCCCTCTACCTCTCTCATTCTCTCTCTGGGAAGTGCTAATGCCTTCTGGTAAAAACAAAACAAAACAAAACAAGAAAAATGCTTAGCCATAGAGACTCCATCTTGCATCTTGCTCATGAGTTGTTTGCCTCAGCTCATAGCCTTGTCTATAGACTGAGTAATCATTTACTCCAGATAGCCTCTCCTGCATTCTTCAGTGGAGAAGCATCTTATGAGCTATGTCCAGTACCCCCAGGGAGGTAAGAAGGTGTACAGAAATAACCTTTGTTCTTGTAAGAGCTGTAGAAACAGAGTGAGCTAGGGTCAGAGAAATAACTAAAGAGGAATAACCGAGATCCACTTCACTGCTTCAGTGTCCAGAAGGGACTGTCACCTCTTATCCAACTCACTCAGCTTTTACCTTTGCTGTAAAAATCAAGTTTTTGTTCCCTTTTCCTTAAGATGATTCTTTAGGCCACTAGTCTGTCATCTTCTTGGCTAGTTTGTCTATCCAATAAAGTCACCTTCCTTTCCCCAACTCTGTCTTTCAGCTTATTAGCTGTTCTCTGGAGAGGAGAATGAGGTTGGATTTAGTTACTCTGTGATTATTACCTGTCTGTCCAGCTGGACTTCTCACAAGTCTGTTCGTTATTATAACAATTTATAACTTTACAGTCATAATGATTTTAAAAATAATTATTTAATTTTATTTCTTTTTTAAAAACTTGACTAGAAAGCAAGCTGCCATGTCTGAGACTTGAACTGCAACCATCCATGTGGGGTTCTAGTGCCTTAACCAGCATACCACCTTGCCAGCCCCAGTTGTAATCATTTCTGTGTATAATGTCTACTGATAACTTTTTAAAAATTTTCATTCATTTGTTCATTTATTTTAATTTGACCAGAGAGAAAGAGAGAGAGGGAAAGTGAGAAAGCAAGCCACCAGGTCCAGGACTGGAACTGTGGTTGGCCATCTGAGACTGTCCAGTGCCTTAACCACCATGAGACCTACTAGGCCCATCTACTTATAATTTTTTAAAAAAATAATTATCTTCTTTCTTTTCTTTTCTTTTCTTTCCTTTTCTTTCCTTTTCTTTCCTTTTCTTTTCTTCCCTTCCCTTCCCTTCCCTTTCTTTTCTTTTCTTTCTTTTCTTTTTCACATGAATTTTGCCAGAGAAAGACAGAGAGAGAGAGAGAGAGAGAAAGCAAGCCAACAGGTTGGGGACTCGAACCGCGGTTGGCCATGTAGGAATTCTAGTACCTTAACCACCATTCCACCTGCTGGCCCTGTAAATTTTTAAATTCCTAAAATTTCCCGTTGTCCTTGTTTGACACTGCTCAGAAGTCTCCTTTGCTCTAATTGGAGGTCCAAGATGATAAAATCTTATATATTATATATATGCATATATATGATGACATGTTATAATAACTATATTTTATAATAATATAATATATGCATATATAACATGCATATATATTTTTTTAATGAGGGGCAGGGGAATTGCTGAGTGGTTCAGTTAACAGTAAGTTGTATCTTTCCAACCAATTTTCATATATCTTTTAAAATTTAGTTTGGGAACGCGGCTCTAGACTAGAAAAGCTTCAAGTTAGGGGTGAGTGGTGGTTAAGGGCGCTGGACTCCCATATGGCTAATGGCAGTTTGAATCCCGGACCTGATGGCTTGCTTTCTCACTTT